CACAATGCATCATGGGGGTGTGCTCATTGTCCCATGATGTAGTTTTTTTCATCCCATGATTCCAACTTAGTTTCGTGCCTTTTTGAACAGCCCCCGTAAACTGTGTGCCCACCATTTCTGCCTGAAAGCATGGATCCTGAACTGCTGACGAGTCTGGTGATGAACATTATGAACACAACGCAGCTGGTCCCGCAGTATTTCATGAACTGCGAACGAAGTGAATGTGCTTGTCTACCCTGCTGTGTACAATGGAAAGACACAATTCAAGACTGCTGCTGGCGTTCTTGGAGCAGCTGCATATGGTGGACCATCGGTACTGGGCTCAGGAAACAAGCAGTGAGTGGTGGGATCACATCGTGATGCACGTATGGGATGACGAGCAGTAGTTGCAGAACTTTCAGATGTGCAAATCCATCTTCCTGGAACTATGTGGGGAGCTCACCCCTGCCCTATGGCACAAGAACACCAGAATGAGTGCTGCACTGACAGTGGAAAAGCAAGTGGCGATCACTGTGTGGAAGCTGGCAACTCCAGACTGCTACCTGTCAGTTGCCAATCAGTTTGGAGTTAGAAAGTCCACCATGGGGATTATGGTGATGCAAGTGGGCGGGGATATGAATCGCTTCCTACTATGAAGGACTGTGACTCTGGGTAATGTGCAGGAAATACCTGATGGTTTTGTGGCAATGCTATTCCCTGACTGTGGCAGTGCGATAGATGGCACACATATCTCAATTTTGGCCCCAGACCATCTTGCGACAGAATATATCAACTGAAAGGGCTACTTTTCCATCGTCTTGCAGGCGCTGGTGAATCACCAGCCGTTTCACTGACATCAATACGGAGCTGGTCAGGGGAAGGTTCATAATGCACACATCTTTAGGAACACTGGATTGTACAGAAAACTACACGCTGGGACTTTCTTTCCATACCAGAAGATTCCAATGGGGGATGTGCAAATGCCCATAGTGATCCTGGAAGACCCCACCACCCCTTGCTCCCATGGCTCATGAAGCCTGACACCAGGAACTTAGACAGCAGCAAGGAGTGCTTCAACAACAGGCGCCGAATGAGCCTGAATGTGCCTGTTTGGCAGATTAAAATGTTGCTGGGATGCCTTTTTGGCAAGTTAGACCTCAATGAGGAAAATATTCCAATGGTCATAGCAGACAGCTGTGCTCTGCATAACATTTGCAAAGTGAAGGGGGAATAGTTTCCCCAGGGTTGGAATGCTGAGGTGGATCAGCTGGCTGCTGATTTTGAGCAGCCAGATACCAGGGCAAGTAGAGGGGCTCAGCAGGAGGCTATTCGAATCAGGGAGGCTTTGAAGGAGCATTTTGATAATGAGCCCCAGTAATTTGTCTTTATGCAATGCATTTGGCCAGGCAATGTTTACTTACTGCCTTGAATGACCCCTGTAATGCTTGCTTCCTGAGCGTTAACAGTTGTGAGCAAGTGTTCTTACCTATAGCCACTGTGAATTTTTGCAGCAACTACTGTGTGCATGATACAAATAAAGACTCATTTTGTTTCAAAAACTACACTTTAATTAAAGGATAATTGGGGGCACAAACAGGGGACATGGAAATGAGGAACAGGCTCGCACTCAAGGCTCTCACAGCTGTGTGTAACTCCAGCTTTCATCATGAAACCAGTCTCTGGGGGTGGAGTGCAAGGAGTACTGCGAGGGAATGGGAACATGCAAGGAATGTGTTGAGGGAGTTTGGGGAGGTCATGGAACAGTGTTCTGTATTGGCTGCAGAGGGAGTCATGCACAGATGTGCTCAGACTGCAGCTCTATGAGGGATTTGAGCATCTCTGTCTGGCCCTCCAGTGGCTTTATCATCCACTCCTGCCCCTGTCTTCTTTCCAAGCTATCCAGCATGAGTTTTTCATTAACAGTCTTTCTCCACACTCTTTGCTATCTGCTGTATCTGTTGACTGCAGTACTTTGAGAAACATAACCTCCTTACTCCTCCTGGTTCGCCTCCTTATCTGACAAAGGCACTCTGCTGATGTGTAGGAATTGGTCCTCAAGGGCACATCTGCAAAAGTCAAAGAAACAATAAACAGACACAGCATTGTGACTGCATTCCCAGCCATGAATCACAAAAGCCACATACACCTCTTTCTCACTGTCCCTTGGCTAGCACACAGCTCGGTGCGAATCCCAAATATGGTGAGTTCGGTGGGGCAGGGTGGGTTGGGAAGAGGGAATGGCAAAGAAGAGACAAAGGGTATGGGTGGTTTGCAGAGGGTCACTACATGTGCCTAAGGAGATATTCTGAATATTGGCACCCTTTTCTACAGGCTGGGATAATCAAACCCGATATCTCATTCCTAGGGTAACCCAGGATCTCCTGCATGCATATGGCTCCAGACCAGGTCCATATACTGCTCGCCTGTGTGCCACTGTGGTCCCTGGAGAAAAAATTGTCAGTTGGCACGATAAAGTTTCCTACAGCAGGGGGAGAAACAAGGCAGCTCTGCCAAGGAATCTTCAGCAGAGGATTGCCAAGTACCTACATGAAAGTTTCCTAGAGATCTCTATGGAGGATTCCTCGGACATCCCAGTGTACATTAACAAACTTTTTTCCACCAAGCCCCCACTACCTAGCTGCATAGGCTTTACTGTTAATTTCTATCCCTTATCCCTCTTCTACTATATAAAAAAGTAAATGAGATCTGTCACTGTGCATCATGAAAGAAAAATGGGTGCTTACCAGAGCTTGCCTCTCCTGCTTCATGTGTGACAGAGATGGGAGTGCTGGGACTGGCTAGACCCCTCTGGAGTCAAAAATAGGTCCTGGCTTGCCATCGTACCGGACAATCCTGTTGCATATCCCTCATCTTCATCCAGGTCCACTTCATATCCACCACTTCATCCGTGGGGTTGACTCCGCTGGCTGCTGCCTCCAGTCCCCCCAAAGTATCCACGGGGCTCTTGGCAGTGAGTCACAGACAAGGATAGCATGCAGCTCCTCGAAGTGTTGACAAAACTGTGTAGTTTAGACAAGGCCTTAGTGTTGGAGATATTTCTATGTAAAACCATTGAAACTGTACTTTTACCCCTCAAGATGCAAAAGTGAGTGTTTAGAAAGGTAATTTTCCCTTAAGTCTTTCCATTTTCAGAATCCATTTTCAAAAATACATAATACACAACTAAGTTAAAAACTGAACAAGTTACTCACTCTGTCCACCTTCTCTGCTATACTGAGCTTCCTCTAAAGGAACAGACTGCATAGCTGACATAATCCTTTGAGCAATATTTGATAGCGGCACTTTACAAAGGTCATGTCCTATGTACTCCTTGTAACTCTCCATTTTTCTCATCAATCCTGAATACAAGATATCACATGTGTATTATATAAGAGACATTAAGATCATGAAACAATTAGCATCTACTACATAAGGCTAAAGATGGAATGGATAATGCATATATAATATCTAGTACATCCACTCTCTACCTAGAGCAGTGGCTCTCAACCTGCGGCCTGCTTGCAGTCCAATTAGCACACAGCTGCGGCTCATGTAACATCCTCAGAGACATACAAGTAATATATATATATATATATTAATAAATAATAAATAAATTAATGGAGATATCCTATCTCCTAGAACTGGAAGGGACCTTGAAAGGTCATCGAGTCCAGCCCCCTGCCTTCACTAGCAGGACCAAGTTCTGATTTTGTCCCAGATCCCTAAGTGGTCCCCTCAAGGATTGAACTCACAACCCTGGGTTTAACAGGCCAATGCTCAAACCACTGAGCTATCCCTCCCCCCCTTGGCCCACATAACACAGAGAGCTGCATATGCGGTCCACAATGGTCAATAGGTTGAGAACCACTGACCTAGAGACTTTAATATCAATATACAAACTGACATTTTCCCCCTACTACCATGTATGCACATTGGTTTGTCAAACAGTTTCTTATGAGTACTGGCAGATGTCAATAATTTAAGAGAAATAAGCACTGAAGCATGGATTGAAACCGTTTGATACACACTACCAGATTTTCAAAAAGAGGCAGTCATAGCCTTTAAGAGGTGTATTCAACGGCACACAGTGCCTTTAAGAATCAGTCTGACAAGAACTCCAAATCAATGTCATGTGTCTTTGAAAAATCTCCCACATTGTTTTCTAATGAAGATCTAAAATTAATGCATGCATATATTCATTACTTTCTATCCTTACAGTAAAGCACAAGCCTCTATAAAAACAGTTTTCAAGTCTTAAGGCTAAAAGCAAAAAACCTCAGAAGGCTGAAACATCATTAAAAGATGGAAAGAAGAACGGATTATTTAGACACAAAGTTCAGCATTTTTCCTAAAATAAAGATCACTAAACAAACACTGTAAGTGTTGGTGATGTGATCAACTACTGCCAGAAAAAAAAAATTACAAGACATTAAACTCTGCTTTTGACAAATGGTTTTCAATTGTTCTCTGATGTTTAAACCTCCACATATATTACTACTGGTCTGGAATCTTATCTTTCAATTGACCTGCATTTAATCACGTTCTATAATATCTAGATGCAACGCAAGTACAGAATGTAATCACATGGGCCACTGGGGAGCAAGAGAAGCAAAATCCTTCATGTCAGTAGAGAAGACTTTATGAGTGTAAATTATACGGGGAGATTCAGAGTAACATTTTGAACCATATACAAGATTGATGCTAAAAATTTACAGTGTGCCTTACAGTATTTCTAGGTGTCATCTCTCAACTGGGGTTCAAACTCCATAGTATTGGTGAATACAACTGACAGTTCAGTAGTGGTTAAATAACTTATTCCCATACAGAGGTCTTGACTATTCACTGGCCACTCTTGGCTCCCTTCACATCACTAGTACATGTCCAAATCAAATTCTATCACCACACAGGAAATGTTTTCTCCCTCTTTAGAGGGAACCACTCATCTTAGCTCATGACCACAGGCATTGCAAATGCTTCTCCTCTCTGTCCAGGATATGTCCCAGGTCAAGAATGTAGTCATGACCAAGCCTCTTTTCCTACCTTGGGTAGAAAAACAACAGTCAAGAAATTGTTCCTTAGGTGTATAGCTTCTCCCTAGAGGAAGAGGTTTTTTAAACATAGACTAACTTTTTCTCTTGTGGAAGGGGTCAGTCTTATCTCAGGTGGCAAATCTAGATTAGATTTAGAATTTGGCAGGCAAAAAGGTACAATATACCATGGATCAGAATATATAGAAATGTTATGCTTGTCACAACCAATCCCACCATTAACCTGAAACATTCTTATGTTTGTGGATTTAAATCACTTAATATTAAGGACATAAATGCACTTATTGTGTTTTTTCTTTTTAATAAAGGGTGTAGGAGGACACATTCCATTAACTTGTAGTGTTTTTACCCTTGATATGATTTACTGATGTTTATAGTCAAGATGATTAAACATTTAATAGGGTTCAAAAAAGACAGTGCAGATTTACAAACGTCAAATATTTTAAAGTACTTAATACTTTTAACAGAGGCTATGCTCTTATACATTTAAACATGAAAGGTAATTATCAAATACAATTTTACAGTTCAAAGCATATTTAAAATGTTATTTATACACTAAAAATAATGTTACCTGCAGTTATAAAAATAGCCAGTCTTAATTTGCTTCCCTTTATGAAATACATATTTATAAACATATCTGTATATGACCTGAAAGCAAGTAGAATTGTTGCTCCCATCAGGATCCAGATCCAATGGACACAGTAGAGAAAAGGCATCATAATTGTGTGAAATCACATTTAATTCTCTTTAATCTATAACAAGTTTCTTATATTGTTTGCTACACATATCTTGGGGTTGCAGTTGATGAGTCAAAAATCTTTCTTATTAAAAATTGAATAAGTCTGGCAGAGTTATTAAAACATTCTGAAATTTGTGTTACTACAAATTCTAGAGTGAGCCAATAAAGTAACATTTCATAGATTAATTATGTGCTGAATACAAACATCTTTGGGACACCCTGCTACAAAAAGCAAGTTCAAAACTCTTGCTCTTAGAACTTCAAGATTCTAGGAAGAGTTTGGAAGAGTAGCATGAAGGGGAAAGAAGGGCAATCAATTAATCCAAGGGATTTTGGACAGTTTGTAGAAAAAAAAGCAGATATACTTGGTCTATACCCAAACATGCTGTCACTTTTGCACAACTGCACCTCACATCCTCTCAAAGGATCGCAGGACAGAAGTTACTGTAAAATTTTACTATTAGGAAAAACATCTGCTTCAGAAGGAAGCATACTATATTCAACAGCCGTTCCTTGGTTCCAACCCCTAAAATGCCCACCCTGCACTAACTTTGCAGATCACATATGAAGAAGGATTTCACAGCATCTGAAGACAAAGGAAAAGCATATCATGGAAGCAGGAATCTGCATTTTAACTCTGCAAATTAAGTAACATTGGGTAATATGTAGTCTAGCAGTATCTAGATACTTAATGCATTCCCTCTCTTGTAAAGCAAACCCTCACAAACTGAAGTATGAATCCAAAGTCTCTGTACGCCAAAAACTATAAAGGAGCTTACAGTCTGTTCTTGATAAGGCTGATAATGATATATTAGTTTATCAAATAAAGCACTTATCCAAAAAGTTTGTTTTCCTACTGAATCATAAAGAAAAGTCTACACTAAATATTTCCACATCTTAACAGTAGAACAAAGATGCATTTAATGTTTAATCCTCTAGACCAACAGTTTGAGCCTGAGACTGATGCTCTAGCTTCTCCACAATATCTTTCAAATAGTCTTCATCTTTGAAAAAATACACATACAATTTTCTTTCCATCTGATGTAGTGTATTTGTCTCTAAAACCTTTCTCTTGGCCTTTACATCAGCAAGAAGATCCATAATAAGCTGATTTAGTTTATTTAAGTTCACTTCCAGTTGATAAAGTTGTTCTGTTAGTTCCTAACAGAAATTAAAAAAAAGGAAAGTTTATTACATTTGCATTGTTGATACATTAATTCAACTACAATATAAAAATATTTTAGTTTTTGGAGGCAGGTTTGCACAACACACAGGATATGCCTAATGAAAAGAAGCAAAAGTATGAGGTACAAGGTAATTAATCTCATTTGATTTGTAGAACTCATCTGGGCCAGACTGTAATACCCTTACTCACACTGAATAGTATTTTACTTTACAAACAATCCCACTCAACTAAGTGAGATTACAAGTAGAGACAGCTAGCACTTAATGTGAACAAGGGTATCAGAATCTATCCATCTGTCTGGTATTGGTAGAACAACAATTTTACTCACATTAAAAGTAGTTACAATTCTAAAAGTACTCCTCGCACTTAGACAAAAATAATGCTTCATAGATTTAAACTGGAACCAGATTATTGGCACCTGTATTTTTCCATCTTTCACTGCTTCATAGCTTGATTATCTTAATCTTTTTAGCGTAGGTAGGCTATTCATTTGATTATAAGGACTCAATGCAAATGTCTAAGCTGCTTTCGTTATTAATTATTATTTGTATTATCATGGAGCCTAGTCATGGGCCAGGACCACATTATATTAGGAGGGGGTGTGATGTGCAGGAGGGATGCGGGGTGGTTGCGGGGTGCAGGAGGGTAATCAGGGCAAGGGGCTGGGTGCAGGAGGGGTGCAGCAGGAGGCTCAAGATGGGGGTTAGGGTGCAGGGGGGGTTTGGGGTGCAGGCTCTGGCCTGGCACTGCTTACCTTGAGTGGCTCTGGGGTGGCAGCAGCGCACAGCAGGGATAAGGCAGGCTCCCTGCCTGCCCTGGTCCCGTGCCGCTCCCAGAAGTGGCCAGCATGTCTGGCAGTGGTTCCTGGGGGTGGGGTGGGGCAGGTGGCTCCACTGCGCACTGCCCTCGCTTGTGGGTACCACCCTCGAAGCTCCCATTGGCCGCGGTTTCCCGTTCCCAGCCAATGGGAGCTGTGGGGGGTGGTGCCTGCAGGTGAGGGCAGCGCATGGAGCCCTCTGCCCCCCCAGGGGCCGCAGGGACATGGGTGCCGGCTGCTTCCGGGAGCAGCGCGAGGCCAGGGCAGGCAGGGAGCCTGCGTTAGCCCTGCTGCACCATGGGGCTGGCAATCCCATGGACCAGACTGAAAGCCCTGATGGGCTGGATCCGACCCATGGGCCATAGTTTGCCCTCCCCTGCACTATATAAACACCGAACAAAGACATTCTTAGAAAGAGTTGCTGCCAGGAGAAAATATTACTATAGATTTTTAAAGTGGTAGTATAACATTGTATTTCAGCCCATATATTTCCATCAAACCATACCACAGTAGCAGGAAAGAAACATCTTAAGTTTTTCTATTAGAAATTCATAGATGCAATTTATGACATAATATACTCCGATGAAATGCATACCCTACAAAGAGGTATACATCAGTTGTTAAACTGCCATGGCTAATGACTATGACCTATATGATAATTACACATTTGGAAAAAAGCTACTTTTACTTCTTTAATACTAAAGGAAGTATTAACTAGAGAAATAGATAAAAATAATATATTTAACTACATGTTCAGACCCTTTTGTCTGTATAACTAATCATTTGCAAAATATGCTTACTAATGCAGCAATAGCTGTAGTTCTACAATAAGGACTTACTTGGTTACTAAGCAAGATCTTATTTCCCCCACAATACAGAGAGTCACAAAGTGCATCTAAATCACTATCCAGCTTAGACAAAAAGAGAAATTGTTCTTGAGAAGATACTGCTAGCTGATCTTGCACTGAAGTAACGTCTTGCTTTAATTTCTGAGCCACTTGTTCAATACCTTCATGCGTTCTAAACAATTGTTGTTTCTGATTCTCTCCTTCCAAAAGCTGGTATAGCCTACAGTGACAAAAATTAGATATGCAACATTCATCTTTTAAAAAATTCAGTACACATTTATGCCACCAGTTGATTAGTTAAGACAGAGCTTTTTCACATTCATCTCTGGGAAGTCATTCTGATCAAAAGGCAAGTACAGTCCTGCCCAACAATGTCAGAGTGATGCATCTTGCTAACTTCTGAACTGCTCCTGGTCACTTCTAGACCACCCTAATTTTTTGGTTTAAGCCTTGGTTGGTTGGAGTCTGAAATATTTCAAGCTGCAATTAAAGGGACACTGTCAACTTGAAATCTAGTCTATTTAAAATAATTAGTTTAAAAGTAGTTTGAGGACAGTACACCTACCCAAGTCCCACTGCCAATTTTTGTGCTTTAGCAAGCACTTTCTTATATTTGAAAAAATAATTCTCCCTGAGGGGGGAAAAAACCCTACACAAACAGGAAAAATGAATGTATAAAAGGTAAATAGTGAAACTAGCTACAAAGTACTTTCAAATACATAAAATAAACTGGAAAAAAAATCAGAAAAATGTTTTTCCTCTATTCAGTAATCTTAGGAATTACTTGTATAATAGATGGTCAAACTGATTCTGACAGGAGTGAATTTTAAGATAACTCTCTAATGGCAGAAATTTTTAAGTATCCCTTAAAAATATATAGTACTTATGAATTTGTAACACATGTTCCTTCCTGTAAATGATAGAACTCTAGATACTCAACTGCTAACCTATTTAAAATGTTATTCTTTACTTTTGGGACACTGATGCATCTGAATTTAGTACACTGTTATTGCTCTGTGTTGCCATAAATTCTACGATTTTAGCAATACAATCAAAAATTGAATATAATTAATGCTTTTATCATCTTTATCACATCTTTATCACTTAGTAGTTTATAGATCTGTAGAATAAATTACCTTGCACCTCTCTAGCATCCCAACCCACTCATACTGCTGTACTTCCTAATTTGAATCAAAACAAAGCCAGTTTTGTACATTAGGGACTACATTTTCAAATTGGGGTGCCTAAATTTAAGTCCTTATTTTGACACCAAATAAAGTATGACCTACCGGTCATTTTCCAAGCATGCTGTGCAACTGTAGTTCACACTCACTTCAGTGGAAATGGGAGATACTGAGTATCTCTATAAATCAGTCTACTTTTGGACCTTGACATACCTGCCATTAATCCATACTAATCTTCATTAAATTTTCAACATGGTATTTATGACTAAATATGATGAGGGAACTAGTCCAAAGGTAACATTTTAGTTGACTGTATCATTGAGGGGACAGCAGTCACCCAGCAAGTAGTGAAGTCTGCTATATTGTGTTGCATTCTTATAGCATTAGGCGGGAGGAAAAAAAAAGTATGTAATCATGTTAAAGATTGTACAGTAGAACCTCAGAGTCATAAGCATCTCAAGAATGAAGATTGTTGGTAACTCTGAACAAAACGTTATAGTTGTTCTTTCAAAAGTTTACAAGTGAACATTAACTTAATACAGCTTTGAAAGTTTACTATGCAGAAGAAAAAAGCTGCTTTTAAGCATCTTAATTTAAATCAGGGGTTCTCAAACTGGGGATCAGGACCTCTCCGGGGGTCACGAGATTATTACAGGGGGGATCGCGAGGTGTCAGCCCCGCCACAAACCCCGCTTTGCATCCAGCATTTATAATGGTGTTAAATATATAAAAACTTTTTAATTTATAAGGGGGGGGTCACACTCAGAGGCTTGCTGTGTGAAAGTGGTCACCAGTAGAAAAGTTTGAGAACCATTGATTTAAATGACACAAGCACAGAAACAGTTTCCTTACCCTGTCAATTTTTTTTTTAAAGCTTTCCCTTTATTTTTATTAGTAGTTTACGTTTAACACAGTACTGAGCTGTAATTGGGGTTTTTTTGTTTTTCATCTCTACTGCTACCTGACTGCATACTCCTGTTCCAAATGAGGCATGTGGCTGACTAGTCAGGTCTTAACTCTGAGGTTCTATTGCAGTGGTTCTCAACCTATTTACTATTGTGGGCAGCATCCAACACTACCTGTATTGCCCTGAGGATGTCACATGGGCCACAGCTCTGCGCTGATGGGGCCTCAGGTTAAGAATCACTGTTCTACCATATCATACTTACTGCTAACTCCGAACAGTCAAAACACATGAGTCATGCCCCCCAAAATCATAAGATATGCGTTTTACAAATAAGTCTAATTTTTAAGCCAAAGATTCTTTTCATGTGCCTTTTGGTTTCTGAGCTTTTAGGGTGCACTCTATTCTTGTTTTCAAGCTTTTCTGCACAACCATGAGGACTTTTTTGTTTTTGTGAGATTTTTTTATGTAATACTCGGATTCAAAAAGTTGAGGCTTTAAGTAAAACCCAAATACCATGAGACTCAAGTTATGAATATACATGCAGTATTACCAAGGGAGCAGAATTAAAGTTAAACAGGGAACCGTAAATCCAACTTTTCTTATCTTCTGAGAGCTTCACTGTTAGGATATAGATATTCAGGCCTGTCTGCAAAGGCCTATATTTTAAGAACTTAGGTGTATTCTTATCACTTAGCTAGTTATAGAGGTATAAAAGAAAGAATCAAAATCACTCTCTGTATGTGTAAGGGCCTTCTCTCACTGTGACAGTCTGAGGCCTGGTTCTTAGGCTAAGGCCTTCGGCTAAGCAGCAGAGGCCAGCCATAAACTGGGAAATGTGTGGTCACATCCTTACATTCCAAACTAGTCACATTGAAATAAGGTGCTATTGGGCTGTTCGGAATATCAGGACAGGATTGTATTCCTATCACCTCCAGAGAAAGAGAAGAGCTAGAAGATGTAAAAGGAAACTTAGTTTGATAGCATCCTGTCTGGCAAGAACTCACTTATCAATAGCTGGAATGTGAAATCCTCACTTCTGTATTGTTCTATCACTGTAGTCTTCACTTCCCCGTTGCTTGTCTGTATAATCTCTGTCTGGTTCTGAGATTGTTACTGTCTGCTGTAGAATTAATTTTGTTGGGTGTAAACCAATTATGGTGGTGGGATATAATTGGTTAAATAACCATGTTACATTGTGTTAGGATTGGTTAGTTAAATTTCAGTAAAATGATTGGTTAAGGTATAGCTAAGCAGAACAAAGTTTTACTATATAGTCTGCAGTCAATCAGGAAGTGGGGGGGAATGGGAACAGGGAATGGGGGTGGGGGAATTGGAATCATGTTTTGTTAAGGGGGGGAATGGGAACAGGGAATGGGAGCAGGGATGGCTCTGTAGTGTCAGAGCTGGGAAGGGGGACACTGAGGAAGGAAACTGGAATCATGCTTGCTGGAAGTTCACCCCAATAAACATCGAATTGTTTGCATCTTCGGACTTCGGGTATTGTTGCTCTCTGTTCATGCGAGAAGGACCAGGGAAGTGAGAGGGTGAAGGAATAAGCCCCCTAACATAACCAAAGTGTTCTTTTAATATAGTTCTTTTGCTATGTATTTTAATAGGTTTTTTTAAAAGGTAAAAATAAGTCTATAAATATACAATTGGAACAAAAGCCCCCAAAGTGTCTCATCAGTAGGGTTTGAATCCTGAACCTACATTCCGACCATTGAGCTACAGGACTAGATAGCTACATCAGCTAAAAGCAGGAGAATCCTATTATTCCAACGTGGGGCAGTGGCCACTGGGGCTACGTTAGGCCTGGGAGTAATTGGGGGGAACCAAACCCAGCTCTGTACCCCCTTCAGAGGTGGTGAGGATCCTGCCACAGATGGTACCCTAAAGGGGGTACCATGCTTGATCCAGGGGGCAGTTCATTCCAGCCTGGTACTCTCCCTCTTTATCCTGCTCTAGCAAGTATTAGGTATTCCCAGTTCAGTGTGTTCTGCTGCCCCAACTGCAGCATGGGCCTGGCCTTAGAACATTCACACTCAGTTATTCTGGCATGCTGCTAGAATAGACCTAGAGAGCCAGATCATGTGTGACCATGACTACGTGTCCTTCTATTCGGACAAAAGAGAGCTAATTGGTACGTAGAATGCCTTAATCTCTTATATCAATACTTGGCATGGCGGGCAATGCCATGCTGGCATGCTGCTAAAGTTTTCCGGAGCAACACCATGAAAGGCAGGGAAATGGAAATTTGAACAGTTAACTATTTCATCCAAACCCAAACAGAATTTCACAGGACAAGTAAAAGCAAGTGTCTAGCCCCAAGGATTCGTCCCTGGTTGGAATTTCAAAGGCCTGCTGCAGTTAATTAGAGCTTCTCAGTAAGAGATTGCAAGAAGATTATAATGGCAAATGGTAGGCAACTTACACAGAGGTCTACTAGCTCCCACATAATGCTTCATATCAAAGTTTGACAACCACTGTACAATATTTACCTATGAGAGGCATCATCCCTTGAATCAATAGTGTTCCGTGGTACTGCACGCTGAGTTATAAGTGGGTCAGACATCATCTCCAGTCTCTGTTCTAGGGCCTTGCTGCTCTGTTTCAGATCTTGTATTATGTTCTCAAGTTGACGATGGATATCCCTATGTTTCCTCAATTCAATTTCATAAGCTAGCTGAAGAAGTTCAAATGATGCTTTCTGTTTTAGCAACTGATTGCATACTTGATCTTGTCTTGATGTATAGTAGTCCTGTCTAGCAATCTGCAAATCAAAATCTCCTTTCACCACAGGCATGTTCAATAGCTGTGCATTCTCCTTCACCAGGGAAGGCAGTATTTCATTATTTATTTGAGTTAGCTGTTTTTTTATTTTTGAAATGTCACTGTTTAAGCTAGAAATTCTAGCTTCAAGGTGTTCTTTTCCAAAAGTCTACAAAAAAAACAAAACAAAAGTACTTGTAAGAACATATTCAAAGACTACTAACATTTTTATTCATGTTCCATGCTACCATTTCCCATTTTCCCTAAAGAATTTAGTTTTAACTCCATATTAAGGATCATGCAATTACCAAGTCAAATGGAAAATAGCTGAGGAGATGTAAGATTAAGGAAAGACCCAAAGAAATATTTCCATAGGACTGCCACCATTTGTTGAATCAAAGTAGTAGAAAATTATGGAAGTAAAATCAAAGGACAGAACTGCTGAGTTCAGAATTTTATCAATTAATACCTGCACTGATGTCCAGGCAGCACACCATGAAGCATATTTTAATCACATTTACAGATTGGTTTTCTCAATATTTCATAATAAACTAGGTTCTGAAGCTAAAACAGTAGCATATCAGTCTCTAAGGCTAGATATAAAAAAATGGTCATTTGTCAGTTCAGTTATTGTATTTGTATTTTACTTAGAATTGGCAGCTTTTCATCTTGGACAACGTGAGCCTTTTTATGTCTGAGAAGTAAATATGATTTTAAAAGTGAACCACAATGTATATGTGTTAAACACTGTTCTTTAATAACTAAGTTTTTCAGGACAATGAAAATCACAACAACCGAAGGTAGTCCCTGATGACCTCATTCACAACAACGCTAGCTGTCTCTGTACTGCTGAGGAAAGGAGGGACCCAAGAGTAGGAACTGGCAGATATGTTCTTATCCAAGAAGTGACAAACTTTTAATAAATATGTTTTGCAGTCTTGATTATCATAACCACAGTCCTACTCATCAACCATTATTAAGGCTCCGTGTTTGTCACAGAGGTCATGGATTCCGTGATTTTCCGGGACCTCTGCAGCAGCCCAGTGTGGCTGGCCCAGGAGCCGCCAGAGCAGCTCGGGCAGCCCCTGGGTCATTAGCACTGGCTGCTGCTGGGGCAGTCTTCTCCCCCTCCCCCCCAACCCCAGCAGCAGGAGTTTGGGTGTGAGGGGGCTCAGGGCTTGGAGCCCCTGCTTACCTGGAGGGGGAGGGGGGGTGTGCTCCTCTCCCTCCGCTCCTGTAGCTCCACCCCCACACCTCCCAGTGGCAAGGTTCCCAGCCAACAGGAGCTGCAGAACTGGGGCTTGGGACGGAGCAGAGGCAGCCTGCAGAGCCAGGGAGCTGGGCCGCCGCTTCCCAGGAGCTGAGTAAGGAGCCTGCCCCAGCCCCACCAACCCCCTTTCCCCCGCAGCACCTGCGCCCCCGTTCCCCAACACCCGCGGTGCTTCCCCAGGCCACACCCCCTTTTCCAGCACCTGTGGCGCCCCCTGAGTCTCTCCCCCCCCGCCCCCGTTTTAGTCAGGGGTATTTTTAGTAAAAGTCATGGACAGGTCACGGGCTGTGAATTTTTGTTTACTGCACATGACCTGTCCATGACTTTTACCAAAAATACCCGTGACTAAAACATAGCCTTAACCATTATGCCATATGCAAACAATTCTTATGGTACCAGATACATAACCGAGGTTTTAAAGTTGTATGGTGGGGAGGGAAATCACCACTACACTTTCATAAGGTGATTCCAAAATTATTGGAGTTTTATTTTGGAAATTTTTTGAGATACCAGTCTTATCTAACCCATCCTTTCCTCTTGGTTCTGTCTGTAGCGTTTTCCATTAGTAGTGTGACATGGCCTCCAATCTGATTCCCTCATGCCAACCCGGCTCCCTTGCACACACTCCTCCACGACATATTAGCTCCCCACGCCAAACCTCCCAACCAAAATGTTTCCTCTAGTCAGCCAAACTTTCGCAGACACATCTGATCCTTGTTTCCCCACCACTTTCCCAGCCGCCAGACTTCTTTCCTTCAAGGAATGATGGCTCTTCTGTGAAAATCAAGGGACATCTAGAACTACCATTCAAAAAAGTAAACGAACACAGAAAATCCTGAATGGTCTGGTCAATAAAAAGATAAAAACCTACATCTTTTTAGTCAAACTGAATCCTATTTTTGATTAGCCAAATTCAAAACAGTAATCTGTAACTTTAAAAATTCTTCACGCAAAAGGTAGATGGGGTGTGGCAGGTATTAAATAGTTATGCTAAACAAGAAAATGGGCAGGAAAATGTTTACTATTTTAAATTTTTGCCCAATATGCAAAGAAAAATTTTAAACTCAACCTCAGCCTCTACTTGTATAAATATATTATATACATGCAGTAGGCTCTCCATTCTTTCATATAGTATAGATCAAATGAAATCAACAGTACAAAATCAAAGGACCAACGAGTTTTTAAAAATATTTCTAGAATTACTACATTTATAGAAAGCTACGAGACATGGTACTAATAACACCATTTGATACCTAAGAAATTATATTTAACTAAATGCACCAGAATCTGGTGCTATTTTATAAGTATTAAATTTTGTTATTACCACTAAAGGAATACAATTCAAGTTAAAAAGTGAGTAATTATCAGTTAGTCTTTTGTTAAATCCAGAATAACAAGTCTGGGTTTTGTTTAGACTTCCACTAGACTACATAATTCTCTTTAACAGCTTACCTTGTTCTTTAAGGATTGAAGATTATTCTCTGCCCATTGTACAGCTGAGTTTATGCTTAAATCTTTAGCTTTACGCTGAATTAGCTGATGTTGAGCACAAATATATGCCATCTGCAGCCTAGCCATCTCAAGTCTCTCCTTGCAGACTTCATTGTTCTCATCGCAAATTAATGGTTTGCTTATATCTACAAGTTGGAAATTTTCTTCATTTGAGCTTTCAACCAATTCTGATATACCTTGAAAAAACTGTTTTTTTGTGTATGAAGTAAGTGCTGCAGTGCTTTTCTCTTCCTGACACAAATATTTATCCAAGGCAAGTTGGGATAAAAATACTGGATGAGGACCTAAGCCTTGTTCTGAGTCAGAAAAGGTGAAGAAAAAGGTCAACTTCTTAACTCCTTCAGTAAGAGAGTGAAGTTCATTATTTATCTTAGCATTTATAGCAGAGAAAATTCCTTGTCTCTCTTTCAGAATTTTAGCTGCTTCTTCTGCTTTATCATTTAACTTCAGTGACATATGGCTGTTTGTTGAGGCCATCATTTGAAGCTTATTACGACGATGAATTTTTAGGTTTTTAATTTTCTGAAGAGCTTGAAACTCTTCCTCTAGCTTCTGAAGTTCTCCTTCTTCCATGCTACTTGATTTTGAATCGAAGGTTTTGCAGGTTTTAAGAACTTCATCCAAAGCCGCCTCTTCTAAAATGGGCTTGCCAGATTTAAGAAGAGCATCAAAAGCTTGCAGTTCTTTTTCAGCTAACACATGCTGCTCATTCATATTTCCACAAAACCACTCCAAAAATGATTTATCTTCCACAGTTTCAAACAACCAGTCAAAGTCTTCTCCATTAAGCTGAGCAGCTTTTGGATAACCAACTTTCTTTAAAGTTTCCACAAATTGATTTCCACTGTTCATGATTACAAGCAACACTTTTGCTATGAATATAAAGATCTACAAGCAGCCTTAAAAAATATCCAAACACAAGGAAAATCTGGAGTCTGCTAGCCCAATGGTAAATAAAAAAAAGTTGTTTAAAATATGTATTCAGGGATTTTAATAAGAGAGGCACTGCACAGAAAAAAGCAAGTGTCAGATCACAAATAAGGAAATACCATGCGAATAGGATTTGCAGTGTATCAATTCCCCCACATTTACAAAACCGAATTAGTCATCCTTGAATTATAATAATTGGTTTCTAAATATAACCATTTAACAAAAATATTTTCAGTTGCTTTGCAATTTTGATGCCAAGTGAAGTCCTAACTTCATCCACTAGCTTAACTTCACTAACATGAGTAGTCCCGCTGATTTTAGTGGGACTACTCATGTTAGTCAAGTTAAGTAAGTGTATAATTCAAGGATCGGCAACCTTTGGAATGCAGCCCGCCAGGGTAAGCACCCTGGCGAGCCGGGCCAGTTTGTTTACCTGCTGCGTCCCCAGGTTCGGCCGATCGCAGCTCCCACTGGCTGCGGTTCGCCAATCAAGGCCAATGGGGGCTGCGAGAAGCGGCGGCCAGCACATCCCTCGGCCAGCGCCGCTTCCCGCAGCCCACATTGGCCTGAAGAGGTGAACCGCGGCCAGTGGGAGCCGCGATCAGCTGAACCTGCGGATGCGGCAGGTAAACAAACCGGCCCAGCCCGCCAGGATGCTTACCCTGGCGGGCCGCGGGCCATAGGTTGTGATCCCTGGTATAAGTATTTACAGGATTAGAGCCTGAGAAAGTAATACACTTTTATGCAAAACTGCTTGCTTTAAATTAAAAGCTTTCCCTACAATCCAGACCTACAATTAGATATCCTAGAATCACAGCAACATTTTAAAACATGGTATTTAAGAACAGATATCAGATAAAGTGTAAAATCTACCAATATTTTATAATGTGATAAAACACTAAAAAGTTATTAGTTACCTTTCACTTCAAAGTATTACTTTTAAGGTTTTTCCTTCAGCCCCTGGAAATTTGTCCTTTAAAACCTTTTTATTTTTCTCTTGACTTTCCAATGTCCATCAATTATTTCCTGTTTGGGGACAGGGAAGAAGTATTTCAGTAAAGCCACTTTGAATTATTAAGAATAATAAGCGCTGTCAATTATGTGGGGAGGAGGGCAGGTGCACATGTAACCCACACACCTCCTGGGTGTGTCCCATCTAGTGGCACCAGGACCACTTAGAGAGAGATCAAATGTTTCTGCTCTACAGCCTTAGCTAACACACAGTTGGCTTTTAGCTCATCCGGTAGAGACTCATGGACTAAGCTCCAGAGGTCCCAGCTTCGATCCTGCCATTACACACACATCTAAAAATTATTTATTGTTAAATGTAGAATACGAATTAACTGTATCCAGTGTATACACTCTGGTGTGCCAGGCTCTATTACAATGCAAAGTCTTCAACTCTTTTTTTTTAAATTAAAGAAGGGGCCTGAATAATCTAGCAGCAACTAAGGAAGGCAGACTCCACCATGAGAAACACTGCTAATTTCTCTGGTGCCTAGAAGCTGCACCTCTAGTGTACCAAACAGTGCTGACTGCAGGCACCCTTATCTTAAAGAAGGCAAACTACGGGTTGTGCTCTTCTGCTTGTTTAGGACACATAAAGCCCGAAAGGGTTTTTTTTATTTTTGTTTGTTCTGTTTATTACCTTGAAAGTACCAAGAATGTCAAGTCTGGGCCTTCGCTACTTTTGCTGGACTATTTGTTTGGGGCGGGGGAGGAAGGGTGCTAAACACCCAGAAATCTTTTTTCCCACGCTTTAGTTGATTAGGTGTTACAAAGACGGAGGTGAGAAGGGCTAGTTACTCATTGTCATGTCATCACCCTACTTCGGCCTCCCAGGTAGCCCTGAATTTCTAATGTGAGAACAAGCAGGGAAACGCTTTAAAAAAGACCCGGGCTTATAAAATCCTTCATGACCCACCCACAAAACAAGTGACAACCCCACTCCGATTAGTCAGTCTGAAGGCCCCTTTCACTCAGCCAAGCAGCACCCTCCCCCGACAACACGGGGACGTCACCACAGGCCCCGGGAACTTGGCAGACAGAGCAGGCCTGGCAGCGCAGGAGGGTGGGAGTCATAACCGCGCCGGGCCCAAGGGGAGCGAGGCTGAGTACGACCCGCCCCCCGGCCGCGCGCTCCCCCTCCTTGGCAGGCAGCAGGGGAGGAACTCGCGGCCGGCCGGCTAACCGCCGCCCCCTCGCGCCACGCGGGAACGGAGGTCCTTGCCGGCCTGGATGTTGAGAGGCCGCCGCAGCCGCTAGCCCGGCCACCCCTCTACCAGGTACTCACCACAGAGCTCGCCGCGGTTCGGAAACAGGACAGCACAAAATGGCACCGTGACCTGTCTCGTCGTTCCCGAGGGAAAGGCCGGGCCAACGGCCGCGCTGAAGCGAGGGGCGGCAGTTAGCGCGGAGGCCGGCACCCGCGAGAGCGATTCAAACTCCCGCCTCGCGGTGAAAACGGCCCCACCCCTGAGGGACTGAGAGGAGGAGGGAGCGGAGCGCAGCGCGATGCCCGCCTCGGATTCGCGATACCCCTCTGAGGAGGAAGCACTGGGCGGAGTTCTGAGGCAGGCGCAGCGCCGTACTCCACGATTTCTCCTGCGTACTGAGCGAGGGGCGGGGAAGACTACAATACCCAGCATGCAACGCTCGACGGGAGTACTGGGTGCCCTGCGTAGACTCAGCTACCCAGCATGCAACGTTTCTCCATTCTGCATTGCCCAGCGTGCGTTACGTCTCGCGGAGGTGGGGCAGCTCCCTTACTTAGGGCTCACCTAGAGTGACCAGATAGCAAGTGTGAAAAATCGGAGTGGGGGGTAATAGGAGCCTATATAAGAAAAAGCTCCAAATATCGGGACTGTCCCTATAAAATCAGGACATCTGGTCACCCCAGGCTCACCTCCTTAGGAACCCGGGGAGGGGGGACAAAGTATAAGGAACCAGTTGAAGTCATAGCTCAGTGGTTTGAGAATTGGCCTGCTAAGCCCAGGGTTGTGAGTTTAATCCTTGAAGGGGGCCATTTAGGGATCTGGGATAAAAATCTGTCTGGGGATTGGCCCTGCTTTGAGCAGGGGGTTGGACTAGATGACCTCCTGAGGTCCCTTCCAACCCTGATATTTTATGATTAAAATGTTAGAAGTTTGCTACAAAGGGAGCTGAAGCTGCGGCTCCCTTGTGCAGGGGTAACGTATAGCCCCAGGTGGTGTGTCGTAAGAGCTTACACTCCGATCCTCAAAGGTCTTTAGGTGCTTAATTCCCATCAAAACAAAACACCTTAAATGCCCTTAGTTCTGAGAACACCCGAGGTGAGAGTAGAGCAGCAACCTGAACTTTTAATCCTAGCTCACTTGGTTCCATAGCTATAAGGCATGAAGGCCCTCGAGGCACAACTAAAGGTTTTCAGTCCTATATGTTAAAGCTAACTTCCCTAAGATTATCAGAGATCAATGTCTTTTTTTTAAATTTTTATGTAAAGTGTGCATCTGTGTCATCATCATGTTCTTATTACGCCTCTGGCGTTTAGGGCAGTGATGGAGCGCCTCCACTCCATTCTGTTTCTGGCAAGTCTTTCAATGGTTCCCCAGCCGTGCCCCAGGTTTTTCAGCTTGGCTTCCACAGCTCTTTGCCATGTTGTTTTCAGACGGCCTCGTTTTCGCTTGTCTTCAGGTGTCCATCTTATTTCTACTCTGGTGATGGAATCAGTTTTCATCCAAAGCACGTGGCCAATCCATGTCCAATGCCTCCTAGCAATGATGGTGTTCATATCCTCTTGGCTGCATTGTGTCAATAGATCTTGGTTTGAGATTGTTCTGGGACAAAAAATATGGAGGATTTTTCTGAGGCAGGTTGTATGGAATGAAGACAGTTTGGACACGTCATACTTTCTCATTCCCCAGCATTCTGAACTATAAGGTAGTGTTGAAAGTACACAGCGCTGATAAATCTTGAGTTTGGTTTTGGTGTTGTATTTTGATGATTTCCAGACTGTATTTAAGCTCCTGAAGGTGTTCCTGGCTTTATTGATTTTGTTCCAGATGTCCTGGCTTGTTCCACCGTCCTGGCTGTTGGTGCTGCCCAAGTATGTGAATGTTTCTACATTGGTGAGAACATAATCCTCTATCCATACTGGTGATGGTGAGGCAATACTAAAGGTCATGATATCTGTTTTATTGCGGTTGATTTTCAGTCCAATTTGCTGGCTGAATGCATTGAGTCGAGTTGTTTTTTCTTGTATATGGTGTTGGGTATGTGATAGGAGAGCGACATCATCTGCGAAGGCCAGGTCTTCAAGGGATGAGAATCATAGAATATCAGGGTTGGAAGGGACCTCAGGAGGTCATCTAGTCCAACCCCCTGCTCAAAGCAGGACCAATTCCCAACTAAATCATCCCAGCCAGGGCTTTGTCAAGCCGGGCCTTAAAAACCTCCAAGGAAGGAGACTCCACCACCTCCCTAAGTAACGCATTCCAGTGCTTCACCACCCTCCTAGTGAAATAGTGTTTCCTAATATCCAACCTAGACCTCCCCCACTGCAGCTTGAGACCATTGCTCCTTGTTCTGTCATCTGCCACCACTGAGATCAGCCGAGCTCCATCCTCTTTGGAACCCCGCCTCAGGTAGTTGAAAGCAGCTATCAAATCCCCCCTCATACTTCTCTTCTGGAGACTAAACAATCCCAGTTCCCTCAGCCTCTCCTCATAAGTCATGTGCTCCAGACCCCTAATCATTTTTGTTGCCCTCTGCTGGACTGTTTCCAATTTTTCCACATCCTTCTTGTAGTGTGGGGCCCAAAACTGGACACAGTACTCCAGATGAGGCCTCACCAATGTCGAATAAAGGGCAATGATCACGTTCCTCCATCTGCTGGCAATGCTCCTACTTATACAGCCGAAAATGCCGTTAGCCTTCTTGGCAACAAGAGCACACTGTTGACTCATATCCAGCTTCTCGTCCACTGAGACCCCTAGGTCCTTTTCTGCAGAACTGCTACCTAGCCATTCGGTCCCTAGTCTGCAGCAGTGCATGGGATTCTTCCGTCCTAAGTGCAGGACTCTGCACTTGTACTTGTTGAACCTCATCAGGGTTTTTTTTGGCCCAATCCCCTAATTTGTCTAGGTCCCTCTGTATCCGATCCCTACCCTCTAGTGTATCTACCATGCCTCCCAGTTTAGTGTCATCTGCAAACTTGCTAAGAGTGCAGTCCACACCATCCTCCAGATCATTAATAAAAATATTAAACAAAACCGGCCCCAGGTCCTACCCTTGGGGCACTCCGCTTGAAACCGGCTGCCAACTAGACATGGAGCCATTGATCACTACCCGTTGAGCCCGACGATCTAGCCAGCTTTCTATCCACCTTACAGTCCATTCATCCAGCCCATACTTCTTTAACTTGGCGGCAAGAATACTGTGGGAGACCGTATCAAAAGCTTTGCTAAAGTCAAGGAATAACACATCCACTGCTTTCCCCTCATCCACAGAGCCAGTTATCTCATCATAGAAGGCAATTAGGTTAGTCAGGCATGACTTCCCCTTGGTGAATCCATGCTGACTGTTCCTGATCACTTTCCTCTCCTCTAAGTGTTTCATAATTGATTCCTTGAGGACCTGCTCCATGATTTTTCCAGGGACTGAGGTGAGGCTGACTGGCCTGTAGTTCCCCGGCTGCTCCTTCTTCCCTTTTTTAAAGATGGGCACTACATTAGCCTTTTTCCAGTCATCCGGGACCTCCCCCGATCGCCATATGTAATGGCACTCTCCCTCCACTCCTGCGCTTTTTTATTCTCTGTAAGAAATTGATGCATTACTTCGTGCAGCATGTCTTCTTTGCTTTTTCGCGGTCTCTTCTGGAGTTTTTGCAGTCTGTCAGTCGGTGATAACACGGACAGCTGAGATCTCAAGGTTGCATCTGTAAAGGCAAAATGCAACACTTAACAGAGGCAGCATTGTTTATACCAGACAGAGTCACGATTCCCCTGCACTTAAGGAGGGCGCACACAGTCTACACAATAGCATAAATTTCCCGTCCCAAAGAGAACGCACATAACCCACGGGAGCCCCAAAATGGTGAGTAAGGGGGACTGATTGTTTCAGGGCTGTACTGTCCTCTGGGTTTCTGTGCCTTGGGGAGAGCCAAGATCTGCAGGGGGCACCTACACTGAACACTGTCCCAACATTTTCCACAGGAGTTTATCCTGGAAGATATCTCGCTGCTGAGGCTGACCTGGGAAGCAAGGGAGGGTCTTCTACTGCAATGCGGCTTCCACTCTGGCCCATATGCAGCTTGCCTGTGTGCAGCAATGGTCCCCCCGCCCCTCGCGGCACAGTGGCACGGACACGTTAGCCTGACTGGGACAAGGACCACGGTGGATCTCCCAATAAACCTGCGCAAGCGCATTGCCCACGTTCTGGATGAGACTTTCGAAGAGATTACCGAGGCCGATTACCGCGATGTGATAGACCACATCAATGCGCTATTCCTCCTCTCCCGAAAAATTTCCTTCCAAAAATAAAAGCCGCTTACCTGGAACCTGCTCTTCTGTTTGTCCTCCACCAAGTACCAGCCGCTGCGACTGGCTACCTTCCTCCTGGCTTGAGAAGAGCTCCTGGCTGCATGCCTCCAGGGATTCCGGGGTGTCTCCCCCCGCCCCAGCACCCTCACTCCTGCTTTCCTCCTCTTCCTCCTCCTCCCCCCGCTCTGAAGTGGCCATGGTGTTGCTCGGAGTGGAGGTGGGGTCACCCCCAAGTATCGCGTCCAGCTCTTTGTAAAAACGGCAGGTCATGGGGGCAGCACCGGAGCGGAGGTTTGCCTCGCGGGCTTTGTGGTAGGCATTCCACAGCTCCTTCACTTTAATCCTGCACTGGAGTGCGTCCCAGTCATGGCCCCTTTCCATCATGGCCCTTGATATCTGCCCAAAGGTATCGTAATTCCTACGGCTGGAGCACAGCTGGGACTGGATAGCTTCCTCCCCCCAAACACTGATGAGGTCCAGCAACTCGCCATTGCTCCATGCTGGGGCTCGTTTGGCACGTGGAGGCATGGTCACCTGGAAAGATTCACTGATAGCACTCCACACCTGGTTGAGCAAACAGGAAGGGGATTTTTAAAATTCCCGGGGAATATAAAGGGCGGGTCTGACGGTTGGTCACCTGCGGCCAGGGCAGTAGAGTTCGAACTGATGAGCAGAGTGGCTAGAACAGGCATTGTGGGATACTGCCGAATACTTCTGGAGGCCAATCGGAGCACATTGGGTGGCCACACTGATGCCGCAGCGCAATACTCTTTATTCCTCTCGGGGAGGTGGAGTACAAGCAGCACTGTAGCCGCAGAGATACAGCGCTGTACATGCCTTGCCAGTGTGGACGGGAAGTGAGT